CAAAACCAAATTCAATTTTGATAGTCTAAAATAGCTGAAATGTGGATGTTGTCTTGAACAGATTAAGAAAAAATTAAAAAAAAAACTGTTCGGTTAAAATAGTTTCCAAAATCATCGTTAATGATGGAAAGCTTTCTCGAAGCATTAGCAAAGCTTTCAAAACCACAAGGAAACTAAAGTACAAAATGGAGACTTTTTTCTTTCAACTACATGGTAACCAAAAAAAGACTTCGCCGTTTTTTATTTATTAGAAAAAAAAGTATACAGCAAATTTGATATACTGTTCGTTCTCAAATCAATCCCTATCAGCATCCAGAACCCTTTGTCAACGTGCCTCCAGATGCGCAATGCCCTGGCGGTAAAAATCAGGTGTCTTGGACACCATAAGAGCCTGCCTCATTTGCGAAGGAATCCCCACGAATGTGGTTTTCCAGTATAGAAGAAGTAGTAATCTGTTGGCGCATGATCTGGGAAGTAAAGTGGATGGCGCAGTATCTTCTAACCAAATCACCGTATGGTATCTTTGGCCACCCGCACCACATGAGGCCCGGCATTACTATGGAGGAACAGCAAACCCTTGCGATTAACCAATACTGTCTCTTTCTACTTCAGTACCTGCCTGTTGCACACGTGCCAACTGTTGTGAAGTCCGCAGTGATGTTTTGGTCCGTAGGTAACAACTCATTGTACACCATTGGTTCTCTAGTGCACTAGATACAGAGCATCTTTCGTGGGTGTAGAAGTGGTTTTGTAGTGTGAGATACAGAGTCCCGTGGTGACAACCAATGTTTGGAACGCTTAGAAATGACATACAGGACCCACTTTTCACAACTGGTGAGCACTCGATCAAATATGGATACGTTGCTATGCAAAGAAATCAACGAGAAAGAGGTTGTCACTCGTTGTTGTTGACTTCCGACAATGTGTGGGCTATAGCTACTTGATCAACTTTTCTATGTGGTGCAGATGAAGTCTGACTATTTCATCAGAAATCTGGAAGCGTTCGGCAAACACACCACTTTTTTGGCCGTTGTCCTCTTCTATAGTCATCTTCAGGGTTTCATCATCGAGGACCTGTGGCCGGCCACTGCAGAGTTCGTCAGAGGACTTGTCTCCCGGGCTGAACTTCTGTAAACAATACCTGACGTTGCGTTCACTCACAGCACTATCCCAAAATGTTTGACGTCCTTGGTGACTTGATGCAGATGCGGACAAGACCACCTGAAAGTCATAAAGCAGACAACTCCGAATGAACACGTCGACGTTGTCATGTTTCCTCGCCGCTATGACTGATGTGTGCCTGTATTGGTCAAGAGCAATATCAGTTTTCGCGTATCAGTTTTCACTTGTTCCCACGGGACGTAAAAAACGGCAAGGATTTTATTGTTTGCCTTATAATATTTTTAAAATTTGACTGTTTTTAATAGAATGACACAGGTTGAGTACTGTCGGATCATTAAAATCAGTAACGTTAAATGCCTTCTAAAGAGACTTGAACGTGCATTGCAGATCGCAGGACGTCTTTTATGGACAACGCTGTAACCAGTTCAACCCTAAATTTTTGGTTTACTGGTTAATATTATTAATAGAATTATATTACTTGGAAAAAAGATATCTCGTCTCTTGACATCCATCAGTTGAATGAAGTAGTTGGAAATATAGTAGCAACAACTATTTAGTAATCCGGAAAACTCCTGGAATTATTTTGACTTTTAATTCCACCAAATACAGTTTACGTTATTTGAATACTTTGCACAATTTACTTTCCTTCTTAATTTTTAACTTGTTTTCTTCATCTTATTTTTATTTATCATAAAGTTCCACGTCGAATCCGCGAATGAATTGATTGTTTATGAAAGACGAGAGTTCATGTTCAAGTTTCATTGGAAGCAATTTCCATTTCACCAAACAGGGATTTCGATAAGAAGTAACGTTCTGATAAAAAAGCTACATGAAGAAAATTAATAAAAAATGAATAATCAAAGTGCTTAAAAAATTAAGATAAGACTTTTTTATTACCAGTATCGAAAAGTAAGCTACTTTTCTTAAATGGGATGTAAATATCAAATACGTTTTCCAAATCCTGAATTTTCTTGAATATCGAAATAACTTGAAAGGAAAAATGATATTCTTCAGATTTATATAAAAAGAAATACTATAATAGAATTAATTCGTGTGTTTGTGTGTGTATGCTTGTACTTACATAATAGTTGTCTAGGTCTGAATGTATGGGTATATGACAGTATATATCTGTATGTGTGTAATAAAGAGCATCTTTGAATTAATAAACACAAAAGTTATGTTCCTAAGTTATAATCATTTGTTTTGCTGCAAGAAACAAAGTAAAAACGAATAAAAATATGGGTGGAAGTAAGAAGTGTATAGGTATGTGTATATTTATAGATACTGAACCGGCAATGGTAATGATGCAAATTTTCTTCGAACAACGCTAACAGCTAAAAGTCAAAAGCTTGAAATATTTCTCATAATAAATAACTGCTTTGAACCACAAACTTTGAAAAAGCGGAAAATATTTGGATATGTGGATGAAGATTTGATTTTGGAAGATTAAGGGGGGAGTAAGTTTATCAACCTCAAGATAGAAAATGTTACGATTATCATATAGAAACCAATTTTCAATAGAATCAAGAAAAACAAATTACAAGTATCAGACTGCTGCTATGAAGTAATAAATCTACATTTTCTCTACCTTGCCCATCTGTATCAGGTATCTTCCAACTCTTGACTGGTCTCAATTGTTGCCTGAATACCTACGATTATGGTCAAGCTCATCTTGCAGATACAAGTTACAATATGCACTTTTTTAAGCTTCGACACACGGTCTATTCTAAAACAGACTCCAGCTTGTAAACATTGTTACGGATGGCTTCGACAATATAATGACTGAGTTTAAAATGGAGAATAATCGCATTTATGCATCCTTACTTCGATACGCTAGGAATAATAAAATGAAATAATTCCATCACAAGGCGAAAGAAGAGACGTACAGGTATAAATTACATGTATATGTATTGATGTAGGCATGAACAAAGTCGAACGAAGCTTAAAAAGAACAGATAAAACGATCTTACTAATTAAATGGTTATGCATTTTGTCGTAAACTCCTAAAAGTTCATTACCCATAGTTGAAATGTTCAAACAGAAATGTATAAATGCTAAAGGAATTAACAAAATTCTTCTGATTCTAAAAAGAAATTATAAATTGGTAACAAACTAAGTGAACTCAAAACACTTAACATCCAGAATTGACAAAATAAAGTTTCACTCTCAGCAATCTTGATCCTGTTTCTTTATTGATTTTAACAACACACTGAATATTTCCAAAAGCCAGCAGCCATGGCTGTTCAACCAACAGCTGCTTTTCATCATGTATTCGCTATTCTTGAAATCCAGTATAGATATTTAGCAATAAAAAATATTATCTTTTATAAAAGCAGGTAAATAACGAACGAAATATTCCCTCGTTGCATCTTAGTATTCGTGGCGACAGGTGTAGAAAACCGAAAATTCTGGCTGCAGGTAAAAAGCGGCACCCACAAAATAATCGCTGCGAGTTTAGTGCCTTTTGAAACATCTGCCGAGTATTTCATTAAATAAAATGTTTGCTGAATGAGGATGCGAGTGGCTAGTGCAAGAAGTTGTGTATATACTAGTAGTTAAGTATCAGTGAGAATATGCATTTCTATACATTTTAATCTATTCGCGTGCGCCCCCGCGTGTACGTACGTACGTACGTACGTACACTGGATTCTAGAAAGCATACATACGTACTATTTGGGTTCAGCTGATCTTCCGATCGTGGGTATATATATATATATATATATATATATATATATATATATATATATATATATATATATATATATATATAAACTACTTTATATCTATACAACTTTCATGAAGAAAACTTCCATAAAATAACTCCTTTGTTACAAACTTTTGGCCTAGCAACCCTGAATTCTTTGTATAGTTTACAGGCAGTTAAGATTTCTTTACGTTCAACAATGACCATCTGCGTACTAAATTTGTTTTTATTTTACAGTAGAAACGATGCTGGTTCAAAAGAGACTTTTTAGAAACGATGCTGATTCAATAGAGACTTTTCAGAAACGATGCTGATTCAATAGAGACTTTTTAGAAACGATGCTGATTCAATAGAGACTTTTTAGACTGGTCAAACTCGGAGAACAACATATGAACAACCATATTTATCTATATATATTTATGGAAGTTGAAACGTATATTTTACAAATTTACCGATCTTGCACATGTTAGAAGGAAAATTACAAACTTAGTAATATTCCGAGAATAAAGAATACAATTCCTAAATCAAAATTCGATACTTGGATATTAACAGGACTCTAATTTCGACTATTTTTACAGGAGGCAAAGTAATTATTAATGGTCATTAATATAGACATTCAAATACACGAATCATGTTGGTATAGCAAATTTTATAAACATGCATATTTGTGCTGATAAGCGATAAGATGTAAGAATGACTTGCACCATGTTACCAAATCAGCTTTAGAATGTGTATTTGAAGTGGTCCATAATTTTATGGACCAAAACATTACTTTACATCCCAGCCGTTTATCTTTTGTGTCATATTGTTTCTTTAAAAATCAAATCTTTAGTCCAGCCATCAGGTCTAACCATTGTAGTTCTATATTTGTCACTAAATATTACTACTTAGGATTTCGTTTTCATGCAATTCTTCGCTCTATTTATACTTAATGGTAACAGTTTGCTTTCTTCTGTATCTTTAGCCAATATACTTAATGTTCTGCATGTTTTCTCTTAATTCGCAGCTTCTTTAAATAATTTACTTTTTCTCCGATTACTTTTACATTTCCTCAAACATTTGTGACATTTTTAAAGTCGGTTCTTTCTTTAAATTTTTTCTGTTCAACTTTTTTCGCACTTTCCAGTATATTACAATATTACTTTCTCTTTTAAGGTTAGCTTTTTCTCGACGTCTGGTCTTGTACGATCAGCAAAGTTAAGCAATGTTGAGCCTCGTCAGTACCTAGATGAGTGACCGCTTGGGAATGCCAAGTGTTGTAAGCTTGGATGTGCAAATGGTGTAATGGATAACGACTCAGAATTGGAAATCGGAGTGCCGAGTTCTAGTCGGGTTCGATATTCACTTAGACGCGAATACTTTTTGAAAAGTTATGAATCCACCTCTTAGCCACACAACTATAGCTTAATTCGTAGGACTTATTTTAGGAAATCATTATCTCCAACAACGTCAAAATATCAACATTAATATGCAGCTCTCCATACTGATTCATTAGTTACCAATTAGCAAAAAAACGCATTAATACGTTCAATTGAAAAATTCTTGTAAAATAACCTTTAGTTTTCCGACTAGTCGGGAAAATAAAGATTATTTTGTAAGAACTTTTCAATTGAACGTATTAATGCGTTTTTGCTGAAGAAGAGTGTTACTGCTTCCCTTTCTTGCATCGAGGAGAAGTAGGTATTAATATGTAATCATTGAAGACAACTGACAAGGCAACTGTGATTAGACTTTTAATGAAGTTTTTCTTGCATTCGTGCAAGTGATTCCTTTTCTGGGCATAGCTATTCAAATGATCTATAGATTCGAGCGCTTTCAACTAATCTATTAGCCATTAAATCATTTGGAGAGTTTTTACGCAATCAGCGTCCAGAAAGGAATCACATGTATTAATTAATAAAAGCTTAATTGTAGCGCTTTGCCAATCATCTTCAAGGAAACTTGTATAAAAGTGGGATTGCTGCCCGAATATATATATATATATATATATATATATATATATATATATATATATATATATATATATATATGTATTTAGGCAGCAATCACTCATTTATACATGTTTCATTAAAGACGACAGACATGCTACTGCGATTAAGCTTTTTATTTAATTTTTCTTGTTCCACGTGCCATGTTTGATGGATGTCAGTTATCAGTTATCTCCTGCTAATTTTCCCTCTGAAAGTTCTCCACTGCCTTAACCGGGTATTCACATTCCTTGGGTCTGTCACTGAATCTAACCAACGCCTTTATCCACTGTGCCATGTGTCTTTGAGGACATCTGGGTATGAACTTCTGGGTATTATAAACTTAATGTTTTCAGCAACCATTATATGGGAACCAGTAATAAGGAGTGCCAGAGAAAAGCAATGATAACAAAGTTGCAATATGAACTCTGGTAAAAACATGCAATGATAACAGCAAAATTGCAATATGAGCACTGGTAAAAAAGGGAACGTGGAACTAGAACAGTCTACCCCAGTGATCGAAATAAAGGGTTCAGTTCAAAATTCCAACCACCTGAAGAAGGCCGGAGCGTACAACGGCCGAAACGTTGTGACAAATATGGCGACAAAGATGAGGACAATAGTCCGACTAATGTAAATACTGTATCTAGAGTTATAGGGATGTTTTATTTTCTGAATACAGTGAGTGTTTGTTTTTCTTTCTATTATTAAGGCTTCCATTATTTTAAATCTTTTTTTACGTGTGGATGAGGTTATTATGCTTGTATTTTCTACTAGTGTGTATTGGATGGAGTCAGGTAAGTTTGTGTGTGTGTGTGTGTGCGTGTGTGTGTGTGTGTGTGTGTGTTTAAATAGGTTCTGATGGAGCTGTGATCGGATAGATAAGTCGGCTGGATAGACATGTATAAGTGTGACCGATGTAATTATTTATGACTTCGGTTTGATCAGGAACACAGCAGTTCATTAAGTGATATTTGAAATCGTGAATAATGTTCGTTCTTTGTAGTTTTGATTTTGCCGATGTGTTATTATTTTTGAGGATAAGATTAGCTGTTTTAAATTTTTTGAAGTAGATAATTTAATCTTTTGTTCGGGTCAACTGGGGTAGTGTATTTCTTTATGATATTTCTAAGTGAAGATTCATCTTTTTTATAGCTGACGTGTATTTGGCTTTTGTAGAAAATATTTATGTTATTTTTGTCTGTGTGTTCACTATCGTTATTAATTACTTTGAAAAGAAATAGTCTAGTGCTCGATGAGGTGGTTAGGAAAACCATTGTTAACTAGTATCTGTTTTGGATTGTTGAGTTCTTTAAGGAAAAGTAGACGAGAGAATGAATCCCCGTGTGCTCTCTTTAGGAAGTTTTTGTATATAAATAACTGTTTGTATATGATTATTCTAATTTACAATATGCGTATAAACCTGAATATTACCCACGTCTAATTCAATCATCTATTTAGAAATTTGGTTAAATTCTGCGAACTGTGTAAAACTGAGAACTTTTCAGTATCCCTAATATTGTATTCTGTGTTGTCCTTCCTCTAGATTTCTTACCTATCAATGCTACAGAATACAGTCTATCATGATGTTTAATTCCTAGCTAAGGCAAAAATGGATCCATGCTGTTACAAATGCGAAAGTAAACACAAACTGACCCAGCCAGAATTTGAATCCCACTCACTGATTCCATTTTCAAAACCATTTGCTGTTAATATTTTATAACTCAAAAAAAGTTAATTTAGAATATAAAGAATAAAATGCAAAGAAAAAAAATCGAAAGCTACACAAAAATCTTATTTCAAAAGCACAGGATTGAAAATTATTTGTTGCAATGTTCAATTGAAAATTTTCCTTTTCGCGTTTGTAGAGTATTTCTTCACCCCAGTGTCACCAGCTAGTAGATTACTTCACTTCTTTGACATATTTCATATAGTGTTCATGCTGAGAACAAGTGTCAGTTGTAATTATGGTTGGATTTGTAACAGGCACTAGGGCACATGTTATTTCTCAATGTCATCACACATACACACACCCAAACACACACACTCACACACAAGCGCGCGCACACACACACACATATGTATATATAATGCGTGAGCGCGGGTTTGTGGTTTTGTACTTCCCAAAAGGAGGTGTTCGTCATCTTCATATATAATAAAAACTACTGATTACTTAAATGCGCAGAGATTGTATTGTTATACCCATTCTTCCGATGCTTCAAAGTATACCAGGCTGCAAAATATGGTTAAATGTATAATCTGTAAAATCTTTTAGTTGGCACTTGTTCGGAACACACCCATTGAATTATATTGACATTTCTTATTACATGACTAACACATACAATATATATGTAATTTTACGCATATTTGTTTGATTAGAAAGCCGACTAGAAAAAAAATGATAGCTACTGAGAATTTACCACAATACGTTCAAATGTGGGATTTTAAATATGATAACGACTCAAAACGCAGCCAGACTAACAAATATGACATAATAGGAATGTCCTTAATTATTTGACTGCAGTATTTTCGATAAATGGAGATTTTATTATTGCACCTAAATTATTCATGTTAAACGGACAAAATGTGATTTAAACGTGTGTTTTATAAAATATAAAAATTAAATCAATTATAAACCAATATACTCTTGTTCTCTAAATTAAGTGACGTTATATGCATCACTGCCCATTTATTAAGTATTTTGTTTGTCTTGTGTTCTCCTCATAAGAAAATCCCAACTACTTTTTAAATTTACAGCTTTACCATAATATATTTACATTTTCACATTTGCATCGCATGAGTAATGAATTAAAACATAATTTGTGTCAATGAAGGTAACGAAAATTGATTAGGTCGAAAACTGATGGCAAATGATACGAAATATTTTTGACATCTGAAAATCATTTTATGACTTCACGTTTGAAAAAAAAACATGAATTCTAAAGTTTTCTGTCCCTCTTTCCACTGGAAGTGTTTTATGCAATGTAATGTGGGAGATATGATATGCAATTCTATATATCAGACTAAAAATGGTTAATTGAATGACCACATTGGTAAAAATCCGATGTTACGCGTTTCGTTTTTCCAAAGGACTTCTTCAGAGTAATGTTTTATAGATATAATCATATATGTAAGGGTAGGAAATGAAGTACAACAAACGTCAGTTACAATTTTTACACCGAGAACTACTTTTATATCTGTTGTTTTTAAATATACTACATGGTAATAGTGATAATTTTAAGGAATGAGATATGTTGTATGACATTTGACGTAAATGTACCGTGGACGACTCTGAAAGTGAATGCCTTAATAAATTAATTTATCTTTTAATTCAAACTGTAAGTCAAAATTATGGTCAGACTTATGATGAACGACTAATGCAATGAGTTTTCTAAAAGATCCCTTTTGTGTTCAAACCATCTTTTACTTCATTTATTTTATTTCAGTGTCAGCGATGTGTTCATTGGGACGTTTTTAAAATATATTCCGTAAATTCCTGCTTCAGGTTGTTATTTTTGTCTTTTTATTAATTAAATCTCTTGATATTAAAGTAGTTTAATAGATTTGATATTGTTTAGATTATTTTTTCCAGCTGCAGTCGTTATTGAGTTGTTCTGTAGCAATATTTGCCTAGTTTTGTTCAGATTATTAATAATAATTATTATTATTATTTACTTTACTAATAATGTAAATCGAGTAACCTTTATTACTAGCATTATATATGAAATAATTAGAATATAGGGATGTTTAAAAGTAATTCTAATGTATTTCTGTTGATGTAAATATTGAGGGCTACAAATACTAAGTGCCCTTAATGGAATGTGTGAAAACAAATTTGAAGACTACTGAAAACAATTCATTTTCTCTATAATATAGTTGCCTTACTTATATAAGACAACTATATTATATCACTGTTACTGACCAACTCAAAAATTATCTAAACTTAATATCAAGTTATCAAAGAAGCTTGAAGATTTACTGAAAACGTTACTTGTATGTTAACCAAAATGTTTGAATTTATAGTGTGTAGAAGTAATCTTTATGTGATTGAATTGATTGTATTTACATTAATATGTACCTGAATCTGTCTATAGATACGTCGAAATTTGATTAAAATGTGCATTCCTTAGTAAGACCAATTTATTGCACATTAGTTAAGGTAAAATGCATTCATAAATCATCATTTACATAAAAGTTATAAAACTTCGTGTATGAATCTGTATGTTCATACATGTATTTTCACGTGCGTATTTACTTCTTTACGTGCCATCAGGAAGTATTTTTGCTCTGCAATGC